ATATGTTGAAAATGTTTTAAATGGGTAAATTAGAAAATTTTAGGGCTGCACCTGCCATTGGGTGCCATTGTCCCTCGCGACGGTCATAGTGGCACCCATGCCATTGTCGCCAAAAGGTTAAACACAGTTGAATTGCTAACGAAAAGCTGCCATTGCTAGTTCTTCACTAATTCCATTCCCATTTTATTGAGTTGATTGAAAACGTTTACGCGCCAGCGCCGAAACTCCCCCTCCCCCCCCCCGCCCTTTCCACGTCCCCCCACTGAGGTTGTAATAGTGTAACAGTGCCGAAAACCTTTGAAAAAGGTTGTTTCTGTTATTAGTGAATAATTAAGGGCTGTGAATACAAACTCGCGGTGGGTTGATGGCGTGTGACACTTAGAAGACTTGCACGGAAAGGATATGTACATTCTGGTGTACGGAGATCACACTTGCGCAGAAGAATCCTTTAAACGGGCTCACACTCACCACAAGTATGTAGCTTAGCTAAGGTTCGGAATAGGTTACGGTTATAGGTTGAAGTGAGTTACGAGTGCACTTTCTGAATTCAGTGTCGTTGTTACGTAATTTCAGGGAACGAGAACCAGTTAGTCCGCCAAACAAAATACTTTCGTTGAACATCGGATCACTACGATGCTTCTTTAATATTGAATGTTGCATGAGCATATTGTCAATGAAGCGCTTCATCTCGATTTCTCGTCTCAAAGCTGAACACCGTAAATCACAGCGTCCTGTGAATGTTCACAGCGTCCTGTGAATGTCATACATTCATTTTTCCCATTTTTACTATCTTCGGGTGGCAGTTTTGTTGTGTGCCTGCCAAAAATACTTCGACGCCTACACCCAGTAGTGCAAAATTGAGAGGCTTATATAAGGAGACTACGTCTTGGACTTTCAATGCGTGCGTTGGTTCGGTGATACCTAACATTGGAAATTAATTCAAAATGCTAAGCAATGCGCAGGAACCCAGACTTGATAATGATTCAGGCTGCAGCGTCACTACAAGACATGGTCGTTGGAATTTTTCTTGCTTGAGGTTCCTTAAGCTGATGTTTCGAAACGAGTCACACCAAGAAATCAATATTAATGCGCTCTCCTTATCCGAAGAATTTTTCTGTTCTCTTTCTTAATGACAAGAAGCATTAAATGAGGAGCCGGACAAACCTAGCCCGAGGCGCTTCACTCAGACTATCCAGAAACCATTTATCAAACCTAGTGCGTGACAATGGCAGCTCGCAAAATATTTCGTATTACATGACTCTTCAGAATCTTACTCTCCCAAACGTTATGTGTACAATAAGCGCAGCACGAGCGTCAAGGAGGGCTCATATGACACTACATAATTTCTATGCGTCGATTCGGTCCTCAGTATGAGCGTAGGACAGCTTTCAGGCGCGCCAAGCCGATTACGGTAGCCCTAGCCTAGTGCTGAAGTTACATTCTTGTCAGAACTAATGCCACGCTACACTGATTACAAAATTCTTCGCTTTCCTGGGAATATTTCATAAATGACTACTCTCCAACGGTCTAGGGTGCTGAAGTGAAATTATGGACCGTTGGAGGAGAGTCGAGAAGAAGTTCAATATTCAGTGACACGAACTTTCAAGCCATCCAGGGCTTGACACACCGCAAGCTAAGGAAAGCTTATGTGAAGGATACTGAAACAACAATTGCTACTTACTTCATATGCACTCTTCTACCGCCAGATCCACTCTATGAACGAAAATGTCAACCCTTCAAAAATCATGAATGCATTCCCTACCTTAGAAAACAACCAACAACGGTCTACCTAATTTCACCTCTATGAGCAGTAATAACAGATTCCCATGAAATGCTTGACGCTCTCGGACCTGATTCTTTTGCGAACAATTTTTTTCTAGCTTTTACATGTGAGCACGTAAACATCATTATAGCGAAATCTGGAAGCTATTAAATCACCAACTATGTGTCGAAATAATTCCGAACCGAGTATTAAATATGTCGAAAAGTTTACCATCTCGCACAAAATCATACCCAACACTTTGGTAAGAAATAAAATATATTTTAAGTATTTTAAGAATGACTGACCCTTAACTAACAGTTTGCGGGGACCAGCGCCGATTCACTGTTGCGCTTGTAAATACTTGTAATACTAACAACAACACAATAAAATGGCGGGTTCAAGGCAAAATCAGGAAGGACAGGTCATCTGAAGTAAACGCTAGCAGTGGTAGCAGAAATGTGCTGTTGTAGCGATAATGTAGACAATGGTGGCGATTGCCACAGGCGGATCCGAGAAATTTAAATTTCTTATAGTCTATGAGCCTTGGGAGCCCCACTTTTGAGCCTAAATCTCATTTACCACTGTTTCATTGCGATCACAGAATCAGACCAAGATTGCCATAAAAGCGTACAAAAGAAATGGGAGCCAATAACTACAATTGGTGCTAACTCATAGTTCTGAGATCAAGTTTTGAATGTTCGCCTAAGTTAAATAAACCGTCCACTCCCAGGGTAGGTCGATTGCATCAGTTAGGAAATGATCTTCTACGAGATAGAACAGTGCACTTAAAATGAATTGCTTAGGTTACTACCTCACTACAACAGACTTCGAAAAGTGTGTTTTTACGAGAAAGAGCTTTGCGGATTATGACCTCGACTAATCATTTATTCTTCTAACTGCGACGTAACATATAAACTTGCATGATTCAACATGTTCACACAGTGTGCATCATTCATGGTTAGAGCTTCAAAAGAGAAAACCATCGAAAGGATTCTGCTGTACTCAAACCACTGAGATTTCGTTTCTCTGATCTTCTCCCATCATGTAGGAGGTGGGTGTTGAACAAAAGGTGTAGCTGGAATCGAAGATGAATACCATCGTAGTGGATAAATTTTCGTGCGGTGTTCGAGTAATTACTACTTGAAGTTTCAGAACACCTGTAATGGAGAAAGAACTTTAGAGTGCTTCGACATTCCGTGACATTCTGACTGCTACTTAGCATTCCAAGATGTTCACTCAATGCACGGAACGCACCTCAGCACAATAGCGGCGTAGATAATTCGCGTCACATCCTACGTGGCAGCACCTGTTGCTGATTGACCCGGTCTTCAACTGATCTGAAACGCACTGAAGTGAGCACACTAATGGCGACACGTTGCAGCACGCAAAGCCCACTGTCAGCATACAATACGAAGTGTCACTTAAAAGTCTTAGACTGGTCACTCCTGTTACGCGATCAACCAGGGGTGAAACAGTTCACGATTATAAATAAGCAGCCCATCTATCTACCAGAGCTGTACTTGGAAATGCTCGACCCCTGACTTCAGCAGACATTAGCATCATTTACACTAAAAAATAGAGAATTCATATGTAGAACTAAACATTAGTTGGTCGAGGGATTGGTCAATAGCTGTGTGCGATCGCTTCGGGCAAGTCCGCTGTGCTACCGTTCACAAATATCAAACGCACTGGCCGCTGGCTTCAGCGAACATCCTTAATAGGCATTCCACTTGTAGCAGGGGACTAAAGAGACTTGTTCGGTCGTTTTTTCCTGTGAATGGTCCCATTGCGCGCACAGGTGCTGTTGTGAGTGAAAAAGTCATCGAAGCAAGTCATCGGTGTCCACACGTTATTCCTCTTCCTATTTCAAAAGTTCTTCTGCTAGGTACAAGATCAACCTCGCAAATAAATTTTTGCAGCATCGCTTGTGAGTTTTTAGGGACGACCCATCATTCTAAAGCATTAAAGCATAAAGCATTTGCCGTTGATCAATCCCTTTTTGGGATGCGGCACGCATTCTACTTCCATTTGTACATTCGTAGTGGCGTTTGAATGCGATGTGGCCTATACAATGGATTGTAGCCG